TTCGCTGAAGCTAAAATGCAGCCGAAGTAGAGATCGGTCAAGGCCAAACGGGGAGGGGCTGTGACATTTGATCGAATCCCTCCTCTGGTGACTTCCCCGATACCTGCTAGGAGAGAGCATTTTTCCAAATGCATTTTTAATTTAAAGCTTCTGTTAACCCAAAGTGCCCCTGATCAGGAGGCCCCGTCCTAACGTGATTTATTGTTCCAGTTTTTCTCAGCCACCTCCTGGGGACAAGAAATTCTGCCTGGTTGGACGCATTTGGGCCATTCAGTCAGCTTCCAATGCAGCCACGTTGGCGGAACTTATCTGGCTTTGATGAAGCTCTCCTGTTGCATCTCTGCACGAGTCGCTGCCCTGCACCCAATGGCACGTACAGAGATGTGACAAGGACACTCCTCCTCTTGCGTTCTTTAAAAGTAAACCTCATCGTTCCCGTTAAACAAAACATTCTGCCTCCACACTGTCAGAAGTTTGGAAAGCAAGGCCTCCGCACCCAGTACAATCCTGACACGGATTTCCTGCCTCAAATATTTAGCTGCAATTGTTGCCGAAGACGGCTTGGCGGCACTCATCCCGCTTTCCGCCTTTTTTTAAAAAAGGTTCCCTTTGAAGCAGTCAATCCATTCAAGCTGCACGCTGGCATTTCAATTAGAGCCGTAAGACTCCAACCCGAAAGCCTTCGTCAAATCTGTTCCCCAAACAAGCAGGGAGCCCCTGCGCTCCTGGCATGGCGTGACTTTGCAATCCTGCCCTCCCTCCAGGATGCGAGAAGATAACGCCATGAGAGTGTATGAAAACGTCGGCCTGATGCAACAGCAGAAGAGCTTCAGATGATGAGACCGCCGTGGGAGGAGAGGTCCTGGCGAGGAAGGTGCGTCTGTCTCTCCGGCTGGGGAGGGGAAAGGCATCCCGGGGGCAGGCCGCGCACTCCCCTCGTCCCGGAGGAAGGAAGGGTGGCCACTGGCTGCCCCCGGGGTCTCCACGGCCTCCCGGCCAGGGGGTGCTGTCCTCCAGCCCCTGTTTTTCTTTCCCCTCCGCCTTGACCTTCCGCCTCTTCTTCCGCCTCCCTTTCCACTCCCCCTTTTCTCTTTTGGCGGCGCTGTGCCTGCAGCCCACTACGGAGCCAGCCTTGTGGAAACTACACTCCCCTCTCTCTGACTTTGCTGGCATTGTGGAGGTGGGCGGGCAGCAGGCAACGCTCCCTCTAAGCAGTGGAGTCCTGTGAGCAAAAATTCCACTTTGTGAGCCACGGGCATTAAAGTTGTGAGCGAGCGATTTGGCTCCTGCATAAATCAGTTTGCTCTGGAGCCCTCTGGAGCCAGTTTGGTGTAGTGGTTAAGTGAGTGGACTCTAATCTGGGAGAACCGGGTTTGATTCCCCACTCCTCCACTTGCACCTGGCTGGATGACCTTGGGCAAGCCGTAGTTCTGATAAGAGCTGTCCTTGAAAAAAGAGCAGTTTCTGTCAGAGCTCTCTCAGCCCCACCCGCCTCACAGGGTGTCTGCTGTGGCGAGGGGAAGGGAAAGGAGTTTGTAAGCCGCTCTGAGACACCTTTGGGTAGTGAAGGGCGGGGTAGAAATCCAATCTCTTCTCTTTTCTTCTTCTTCTTCTCCTTCCTGAGCGAAGGCAAAAATGTGTGAGCCGATGGCTAAAAAACCGCAAGCTCGCTCACACTAACTCAGCTTAGAAGGAACACTGGCAGCAGGGTGTATGCTGAGCGCTGAAGCCTTGGCTGTGTAAAACCCTTCTGAAACGCAGTAAGATGTTTGGCCTTCATATATTGCACCATCTTCTTTGGGGGCATAGGAGCCAGGGACTTCTTCCTTGCATCAGAGCTGCAGTCCTCAGTGTGCTGGATTCCACTGCTGATAAACCATTCCTGCGTTTGCATGGGGTTTCAGAACAGATGCAGTCACAGGTATATTTCTGAAAGGGCCACAACAGGGTTCTCTCTCTCTCTTTGTGTATTTCTGAAAGGGCCACAACAGGGTTCTCTCTCTCTTTGTATATTTCTGAAAGGACCACAACAGGGATTTCTCTCTCACTCTCTCTCTCTCTTTGCATCCCTTTGCAGAACTGAAATTGCTGTTTTTTAATGAGAAGACGAAGGAAGGCGTCTTGGAAGAAATCCTGCAAGGAAGTGGACTTTGACCGCTGCATAGAGCCTTTTTTAATTTATGGTGTTTTTTTAACCCTCCAAGAACGAGCAAGACCGTCTTTCCAAGGAAATCCCGATGCCTTTTCTGAAACATCTTGATTTCTACAATTGCTGATGTTTTGTTTCCAGTTTTCGGTGGATCCCAGAGATCCATTCTGCCAATGGTGGCACTTTCCTCCTGGGTCCTCTGTCACGAGGTCCTCTTGCTCGGGGTGGGGGGTGGGGAGGGAGCGGCGCCGTTCGCACAACAGATTCACGGAATCCACTCTTAAGGTTCTCTTTGTCTCTGATGCAGACCAATATACTCTGTTGTACTTGAAAGGTGTTTCCCCCCCCCTTCCTGGATTTAGACATTTGAAAGCTGTTTCAAATTAGATTTCTTTTCTTTTTTAAACAAAAAATCTATTTCTTACCCTTTTAAAAAAAAACGGAGTGTTAGGTCAGTATCAATATTAATGAAATTGGGGAGAGAAGGCAGTTACACTACTCAGAGGCTCGGTCCTGATTTTGCTCCCCCCCCCCCCCGCCGCCGCCGCCAGCTATCCAGTGGACAGGTCCCGTTGATCAGCTAGTGTGGTAAAGCAACTAGTCCTCATGTGTTCCATTTCGTGTTTTCTTTCTTGAAATGAAGATCCTTTTCTCGGAACTTCTAACCATGCATTTTTGCACCGTATTTAAGCTAGCTTCCACCTGAGAACTGCCCAGCGATCGCCCTGTGAAACGTTGACGGTGTTGCAGTTTACAGATTCAAGTCAGTGGCATTCTGGGGTTGTAACTCAAGCCCGCTGGCCTGCTGGAAGTCGGCTCGTATCGCTTGGGACTAGTCCCTGGGTACATCTGTGTGGCCCAGTTGGAAGACGAGACAGACCTCTTGTCTGACCCTCCAGAGCTCCTTAAAAGGGCGAGCGGTAGGCTTTCCGGGGTGGCTGGCTTGAGTCCTGCATGGGCGGAGAGGCCTGCAGGCCCACGCTTTGTCGCCAGTGGCTTTCCAGGGATCAGCCGCTTTGCAAAAGCTTTCCCGCCGTGTGTTCCGTTAGGCCAGGCCATTCTGCAACGTTCTGCCTTTTCCAAGTGCCTTTTTTCAAAGCTGCGTCTAACGACCTGGTTTCTTTTCCTTCCCGAAGGGCTCTGGCCAGGGGGGGTGCAGTTTTGCATCTCTGATGAAGGGGGGGGAGGGCCTCTTTCTAGCCGTGGAAGGGTTCAAACCCACCCAGTGCGTGACATGGCAGTCTCCCGCAGCCAGCGTCCAGTTGCCAGGCACGCTAGTGAGCGGTCGGGAGTCCCGCAGCCAGTGGTCCCGTTGGAAGCGTTCTGGGAAGGTGGGAGTGGCTATTTCCCCCCATAATATATTCTAGTTTTCCTAATTCGTGGGGAGAGGGCTGGCGACTGAGCCCCGCCCCAGCGCTGGGGATTCCCCTCCGCTCATGCCTGCTTCCGAAACGTCTGCATAGTTTCAAGCAGATCTTCACAGCTGAAGGAACATACCCCCTGTCCCCCCCCCCCTTCTTAAGCAAAAGGTCCTTTGGAAGCTGAGTTCCCATGCCCAGAATTGCAGCAGTTCCCACAGCCCTAGCTGCTGGTTGAGCGCAGACGTAATCAAAAACTGCCAGGTCTCTTTCTTTTTCCTCCCGCCTTCCCGGCGTCCCTCTCGTTTTTGGACCTCGGAACTCCAGTCGCCAGCTTGCCTGACGCCTCGTGTCTTACGTCGTGTCTTACGGGTGGCCTGCAAGGTTTCCCGGTTGCGCTTTGCCATCTCCTCTCCTCTCCCGGATAGGTGACTGTTAGGGCCAGCAGGGTCCCGCTTTCAGGTTGCTGGGCTCGGCTGGAAGGCCGGGCCCTGGGGAATGTGTGGCTGGGCCAGTGTAGCAGTGAGCCCGCGGCATCGGTGTTGGAACAAGATGCGAGGGACGGGTGAGAGGTTTCGTGCTAGTTTGGTATAGTTTGGTGTCGTGGTTAAGTGCGCGGATCTGGGAGAACTGGGTTTGATCCCCCACTCCTTCACATGCAGCTGATGGTGTGACCTTGGGTCAGTCACAAGTTCTCTCAGAGCTGTTCTCTCATGGGCAGTTCTGGAAAGAACTCTCTCAGCCCCACCTACCTCACTGGGTGTCTGTTGTGGGGAGGGGAAGGGAAAGGAGTTTGTAAGCCACTCTGAGTGAAGGGTGGGGTATAAATCCAATCTCCTTTTGCTCCTCCTCCTCCTTCGTGGAGCTAGAGTGCCCTGCAGAGTAGGGCTGCTGCCAGGAGGCCATCTTGTCTGAGATGTTTGGGCTCTCCTGGCCGTCTCTCTTGACAGGAGATCCTTACAAGCTGATGGAACCAAAGATTGTATTTTCTCTCACTTCCCCTCAGCCATTTTCTGCACTGTGTTTTCCAGAGCTGAATCCACAATTGCAAAGCCGCTGGGGGAATTTTAAGAATCGGCCAAACATGCAAAAGCAACCCTGAAGAATATAAGCAAAATCGGTTTTTGCAGAGGTATTTATAGGGATGTAAGATAAGCGATCATGTAAAGTGCAAATAAAGTACAAAGTGCGTAATTACATTAGAAGACTTATAATTACAAGCGGGGCGTATGTAGCTTAACTTATGCCGCTGTAAATATTTTTGCACAAAACCCAGATTTTGTTTATGTTCCTCAAGGTTGCTTTTGTACGTTTGGCCAGTTCTGTTACTGGCAGCCGCCTTGCTTGCTCGCTCGCTCGCTCGCTCACTCTTTGGTGCGGGGGAATTTTCAGGGCAGAACTAGAACATCGCAGTATATGTCGGACTGCCTCTGAGAACGGTGCTCCTAAGCGGAGTTTCTCCCCCTGCAGGACAGCTGGTATACCGCACGCCCGGGTCCTGACCACTGTTCCCTCTAAGCTGAGTTAGTGTGAGCCAGCTCACAGTTTTTTAGCCCCTCCGGCTCACACATTTGTGTCTCAGCTCAGGAAGGGAGGGCTCCAGAGCAGACTAATTTAATGCAGTAGCCAAATCGCTGGCTCACAACTTTAATCCCAGCAGCTCACAGAGCAGAATTTTTGCTCACAAGACTCCACATCTTAGAGGGAACATTGGACTCCTGACATCTCGACGGTTCCCATTTTCCCCTTTGTGGCGACCAGCACGTGAAGGTCCGTGAAGATGTGCACTGTGGCGACGTGGGGGCTCACGAAGTCTCGGACACGTTCCGTTGGCATGGGGAAAACAGCACGGAGAGGCCCGTTTTGGCAATAGCCGTCCATTGATCCCAGCATGTCATTGCAACCCCAGGATCCCCATCTCGTGGGTCCCAGGGCAGGGGGTGTGCTGCATCACATCTGCCTCACTCAGTGTCCTTGCTTAATGCCGGACTGGCCGCAGGTGCAGCTACGTGGCTCGTTTGGAAAGACTGGGTGCTATGGGTCTCCCGAGGCTGGGGGGAGAGACTCAGGAGCAGCACAAAGGTCCGGGCAAGGTTTTAAAGAGTGGAACTCTGTTTGGTGCCAGTTAGGTGTAGTGATTAAGAGCGGCAGACTCTGATCTGGAGAGCCGGGCTCGATTCCCCCACTCCTCCACATTGAAGCCCGCTGGGTGACCTCGGGTCAGTCACAGCTCTCTCCGAGCCCTCACAGCCCCACCTACCCCACAGAGTGTCTGTTGTGGGGAGAGGAAGGGAAGGCGATTGTAAGCCACTCTCCTCTGGGTAGTGAAAAGTGGGGTATAAAAAAAACCCATTTTCTCCTTTACAACCAACCTGGCTTGGCCAGGAAACTGGGATGAATGTCACGGGATATCTTGGGGGGGGATCTCTTCTCCCCCCCACCCAGTCCCTGCTAGACCTTGAGCTAAAGTACCCCCTCCGCATAAGCTTGCACAGATGGCACGACGAGAGACTCTTTTTGGGTTGTGTCCAGTGTTCCCTCTAAGCTGAGTTAGTGTGAGCTAGCTCACAGTTTCTTAGCCTCCAGCTCACACGTTTTTGTCTTAGCTCAGGAAAGATGGCTCCAGAGCAAACTAATTTATGCAGCAGCCAAGTCGCTGGCTCACAACTTTAATGCCAGCAGCCCACAAAGTAGAATTTTTGCTCACAAGACTCCACATCTTAGAGGGAGCATTGGTTGTGTCTCTTGTGCTTGGGGCAGAGAGAGAGAAAGACCCTGCCCGCACATATCTGAGTAGCCCAACACCCGTCTCTCTGGCATGCCGGTTGGCCGTGTACCAGGGGGGCTGCGATAGGTGAAACATACAAGCCCCCCCCCATCTGAATAGTCTAGTCCAGAAAAGCTTTGTGACCCGATTCTTTCACTCTTTCACGTTAGGTGGAATGCAGCCTTTAGAATGTGTCAGTTTTAAAGAGGACGTGACGGAATGTTTGTCTTGAAACTTGAAAAAAGGACTTCCTAGAAGATTTGCACGCAAAAGCGCTTGAGGTCTTTGAGACTCGCTGAAAACCAAAGGAGATGTTGAATGCATTGAAAACAAAAACACCCCGACCCTTTCCCCAGAGAGCGGGAAAACCGCTGAGAGCGTCTCCTGGGTCGTCCCCACTGAAATGGGTGGGCTGAGCAAAAGGCGGTCCCCCCCCCCCCCCCCCTTTAAGGGGGGCCCCCCCCCCCCCCCGTCTGTGTGTGTGGTCAGTGGTGGGGTGCAGTTTTCACAAGTCGTAAGTTTTGAATGTGTTCGGTAGCGATGCAGAAGTGGAAGCGGGGTGGACTTGCAAACAGAAGGAAAGTACCCTTGGTCCTGGGCTTTCTGAGATGATGAAACGGTCCCTCCAGCAAGTGGCTGACGGTGGGGGTGATTCTCCGGCGCTTTTTGGCAGAGAAAGCTTTCTGTATGGAGTTTGGTTGGAATGTCGTCGTTCTGTTCTATGATTAAATCACATTTTTCATGCCCATGTTTTGAAAAGTACGCTGCCTTTTTATCTTCACGAGAAGTTGTGAAATCTGAAATGCAGATTCTTTGGGCCGGGAAAACCGCATTTCCTCTGATCTACTGCGTCTGATCCCTTTCCTTTCCTTTGGGAGAGCGCTCTGAACCCCTCGTGGCCAGTTGGTCTGACTCTGGGTTGGACCTGTTAGGCAAATGGTGGCGTTTCCCCTCCCCCCGTGACATGGGGGAGGCTCCTTATGCCGGGGGGGGGGGGCACCACCATTTGCACGACAGATGTGAGGGATCCTACCCCTTGCCTTTGGGACATAAGCAAAATGCAAAGAGGGCTCCTGTGGCAGTGCTTCTTGCACTCTGTGCACCCGCAGAGGGGTGAGGTGAGGGTGGCGGCGGTTCTGCCGTGTCTCTGCATGAGTTGCTGCTCTGGGCCTTCCCGTCAGCCTCAGGCGGAGGCGTTGATTTCGCTCCTTCAGGTGTGATTTCATCATTCAGTCACTTTCAGTGCAGCGAGTTGGCAGAACTCTCTGCCTTTTCAGGAGGGCTACCTGTACTTCTCTGCATAAATTTCTCCTGTGGGGTAGTCTCCTTCCAAGAACAGACCAGTGACCTGTGCAGAAACACAAGGCGTGGGCTCCTCTTGGGGGCAGGTGATTGCC